TTCAAACAATTATGAATTATAGAAGTCTCAAATGAAATATATATCAATGATAACTTACATTACTTAATGGATCCGGAGATGTATCATCATCATCATCTAATTGTGCTGTTGCATTTTGTTTACTTAGTTTTGTTTTTTTTCTACTCTAATGAAAATCAACAGAGATTTTTTTATTATGAAGCAAAAAGCCAATTAAACGCTTACACGAATAAGAACTTTGTATTTTAAATCTTCAGGTGATGGTAAAGTTGTTGAATTTTCATTAAGTAAGCGCTCTGTAACTAATCGATCTTAATGACAAGAAAAATATTCTATTAAATATAATTCATATGATTTTCTATTTACCACCAAGAATTTCTCGTAATATTCGAGCCATTTCTTTTTGTTGTTCTATTGAACAGTGATTTTCTATATTTAGAATAACTGGATATCTATAGAATCCACAAAAAAACAAAATTAATTAATAGATTAAAAAAAAAATTTTTTACGGTGATGTTTTAAAAAGATTTGGTTCCATATAACGAATAATTGATTCGAATGAACATGGTTTTACAAGTGTATATCCATGAGTAACTATTGGTTGACCATTAGGACCATCATAACAGTCAAGCTCAACAGCTCGACAACCAGCTAATAATGCTCGATTATAAGCTTCTGGATTGCTATCACCAGATAATTGACTGTAGAATAAATAGCTAAAAATAATTTGTTTATATAAACAATAAATTCAATTTAAGCGAATCTTACGTATTATGTGACGTATTGATATAGTAATCACATAATGGCCTAGATAAGAAAATATTATATTAATTGAAATAATGTATGTTCTCACTTTTATATACCTTGTCATATTTTGATATATCTGACGAGAACATAATGGTTTCACTATATCAAAATCACTGGATAATAACATATTTCGAAAGCCTAAAATAAGACTGTTGATAAAGTTTAATTCTATTTAATTAATTTCAACTTATTATGTTCACAAAAAATCGTTAATCAAAACGAAAACAGTATATTTTTGATAGATATTGATGTCTACTATGTCATTATTACTAAAAAAAACGATTTTCAATTACATAAATTAATTAAACGGCAATAAATAATACTACTTTATATGAAGTTAAAAGCATGAGCAATATTTATTTTTCAAAATATACATAATGCAAAGAAACAAATTCTATTCAGTCTTCGTTTAACGAACTATTAATTTGAAATGAGAATCAGCTTATTGAAATTGAAAGAGAACATTTGAGGAGGCTCCATCGTAAATTTACTTCACTAAGAAAGTGTTTCTATTTGTCACTGAAGATAGAAAAATATTTTGAGTTTTGTATAAAAATTTCGATGCACTACATAAGCCTATTAATACAGGGTGTCCAGTAAGTCACTGAACGAGAAAAAAATTGAATGTCTCTTTCATATTTTGGTCAAATGGGCTGATTTTTTTAACCACTAATAAAGCATAGTTCATAGCTTATATTCATAATAAAAACGTTAAAAAGTACTGCTTCTAAGCATCGTTGTTGCCTTCTAACCTTTCAGAAGCTATAAAACAGAATATATTTATTTCCATGTGAAAAAATGAAGGACCTGTCTAATTTTTCCAATTACTTCTCTACACTTTTGCCGTCTGGTCTCATATTTATACCACAGGTACATGTCTGGTTACTTAGTATATTATCAAAGTTTTAGCCATAAACAGCGAGATTTTGTCAGAAAAATGTAAATGTGTCTCGGGTAGACTTGTCTAGTTGGAATCAATATTTGTTAGAATGCTTGTGCAGCTACCCTTTCCGTTTCAATTCGAATTCCTGGCTGATGGTTATGTGTCTGCAATTCTCTTTTTTAAAGTAGCCCAACTAACAGTTAACCACTATCCAAGCATTCAAATTGAACCAAAAAATGAGAGAAGGATAAGCATTGCAAGAAATTTTGATTTTAATCATACAAGAGTACATGAGATAAATTTTCAGTTTTCTCAACAAATTCTAGCTATTTACGGCTGAAACTTGGAGAATACAATAAGTAACAGGATATGTATCTGCTGTACAAATAAAAATCTAAAATATTAGGTGTGTCATTTATTTTTGGCCATAAGAATAAAGAGATTGCCTTTTATAACGTGTGAAAGGTAAGAAGGCGATAACGATGTTACAAAGCAGTACTTTGTAACGTTTTTATTATGAGTACGAGTTACGAACTATGTTTTATCAGTGGTTAAAAAATCAGCCCATTTGACCAAAATATGAAGGAGATATTCAATTTTTTTCTTGTTCAGTGACTTATTGGACACCCTGTATAATGATACGAGAAATAAATATTTGAAATCTATGTTATCTGCATCTCGGATAAGCTTCTGCTTACCTAAGACTCATGGCTTTGCCGCCTCTGTTACTTCAAAAAGATTGATAAAACAATGACTCTTTAAATCTGATATTTCTTCTTGGTTATATTTGACGAGCATACGTTTTCAACTGATTAATCACTTTTGAATTTGGATACTTTACATAATGTAGAACCCTGTCATATATAAAAACCTTCAAAAAGAGAAGTCTTCTGAGACCTTCTATCGAGTACTTATAGGCATTTTGCTGAAATTTCATCCTTTCGTTTGGTACATATCAATAAACCGAATGATGTTATTTCAGCCTGAGATTTTGCCTAATCTATTTGTCACTAGAATACTTTGAAAATTTCAACTCAAAAGAATATTTTCTTCATAAGATACTAACGTTCTAAGAGAACAAAAAGTTGTAGCATCTTGCAAGGAATATGAGTGATTTTTGGAAGTTTGATATTTCGGAAAAGAAATGCTATTTTGATGTGAAATTTTCAGAACATGCTTATGACAAATAGACTTGTCTGTGGACAAAATCTTAAATCGAAACATTATCATTTGATTTATTGGTATATATATCAAATAGGAAGCTAAAATCTTAGGCAAATGCCTACAATTGTGAATAGAAGTTCTAAAGAGCATAGATCCATGAAAAAATAATTTTATCCCGTTTTACTTTTATGCTGTAGAAACTGGTAAGATTTTCATATTCACTACACTTTAGTCCCTTTAAGCATTTTAGAATATAGGTGCGGGTGCGGGTGCGAGTGCAAGTGCCGTTGAAGTGAGGCTGCTAAAGGGATAACTTGAAGGGACTAAAAGTAAAGCGGGATAAATTTAATTATTGTGGACCCTTCTAAAGAGACTTACCCTTTTTAAAATAAATGATTAATCAAGTTAAAAATTTTCTTGTCAGACAGTATTTCAGATAATTTGAACTGAAACGATGAACTTTACAAAAAATATATAATTATACATACCATCAAGACCTAATTGACCTTTTTCTTTGAATTCATCATCCAATTCGAATTCATCAATTAATTTTTTTACTTGTTCCGGTTTTTCAAGGTGTTTATATATAAGTTTATTTTGACCATTCTCAGTTTTTACATCTATTAATAGTTTTTGCTAAATAAATAAATTAAAGTTAAATTTTAAATTAGTTAAAAAAATAAATTTACATTTTGAACTGTTCGTAAAAATGATAATAATTCGTCTACATTCATATGAATCGTATCCATTGATTCGGTATATCCATTTTTAGTATATCTATATGAACAATAAGAAGTTCGAATAATATAAAATTATTTTACTTTTGCATTATTTCATAGAGGTCTTTGCGTCGAGTTAACAACTGAAAAAAATTAAGAAATTCTTCTGGGCTCAGTAAACCTTCTTGACTTTTATCTGCTTGCTAAAAACAATCGAAAACAATATTTAAACACAAAACAAATTTTTTGTTTTACTTCGAAAAGGCTTTCGAATATACCATTAGGTACTTTAACATTAAGAGAATCAGTTAATAATTTTCGACATTCACGTTTTGACAATGAATTTGATTTATCTTTATCAGCCAAACGAAAATAATTTAAAACCCAACTTAACAAAAGAAAAATTCATTATTTGAATTCATATTAATGCAATAATAATCTACCTTTCTTCTTTAATTAAATCAAGTTGACTTTTTCGTGCATGTTGATTGATTAAACATTGTAAACCTATTATCCATAAATCTCTAATACGTTTATTTGGTGCCATCAAATGAACTTCACTTCGATGATTATTATACATTATTGTAAATGCAAGATTTTCCTGAAAAAAAAATAAGAAGAATTTTTTTATTTGTTATAAAAAGAAATAAAAAAGCATTTTTTCTTAAATATTTACATCAGTATCCTTGATAAAACGCTTTTTTAATAGGTGACCAAATGTTTGATTACCAAAACCAGGTCGAACTTCATTAATATCTTTGATTTGATCTAATTGAAATAGAATAAATTCATCCATTTTCGTAGTAATATTAAACTATATCAGTTCGATTTTTATATTATTTCAAGTAAAATTTTCTATGCATAATTCACAGTATATAAGCATGCTAATTTTCGGTCAAATTTCAGATGATGATCGAAGATTTTTCTCAACTAACTTTATTACACCGACTACCAAATTTATCCAATCAGTAGATGTATTTGTTTGTCTACTTTATTGCTCAACCGCTAGATGAACTCGAATACTTCGGTCTTCGTCACATCATAGTATTTAGTATATTCACAAGGAATTGTAGATCAATTCAACAATTTGTTAATATTGTATTGATAATATAATCTCATCATGACACTTTTTATTCTTCCGAAATTATTCACTGATTTATTTTGATGAACTGCTGAACAGTGTTTAACAATAAAAATTCTCTTCATTACAAATCGTTTGACAAAAACAGCTTGTACTTTGCACGGTGACTGCTTTTTATTCTAGTTTTCTTCCAAGTGTAAGATTGAAAACAATAGTTGTTGGACATGTGTGGAAATTTTTTGATCAACAGAGATACAAAAAATAAATTGACTTCTAGAATATTTGGTCAATACTGATTTCACCGTCAAATTAGGTCATTATGGTTCAGTGATTACGGACTTTGATACAAATCCACAAGGTATAATATTCAAACATCAATATCACTAGCCATNACAGCTATACGATATGGATAAAGTAAATTTTGACAACCTAATGTTCGACCACGACCAAATGAATATTCAAATTGACCTGTTTCACTATCGAAAACTTTTATACAATGAGCATTTGTATCAACAACAGCTAATTTTCCGCATTCAAGCCATCCAACACTATTTGGTTCACGAAATGCATTATTTCCATCACCATATTGTCTTAATGATCGAACCCATTTTAATACTTGACGAAATGAACCATTTTTATAACGAGTTTCTGAATGAGCTAAAACAAAATATAAACAATAAAGAAATTTGTTGAATTATTTATTATTTTTCTTACTATTTTTTTGAGGTTCTTGTGTTGGAGTGAGAAGAACATGATCCAAATCAAGTGAAGACCAAGCTAGAAATAAAATACTTTATTTTATAAAGAGACAAACACCTGTTTTTAATGCTTACTATCCACTGGTTTGATTAAAAAACTATCTGGTGGTGAATATGGAACTAGAATAGAAAGAGTAAAATATTTAGTATTCATTCTTTTTTCTGATTTTTCGAACCGAATAAGACGAAAAACGAGTCAATACTATTTCTAATGCAGTTCAACACACCTTGTTTATGATTACTATTGCTCCAATATCTCTACTAAACTGCTCTACGTTACCAAAGTTCAACATCCCTCATGACTTAATGCGTTCTCTATTGTTTTATTATATTGATACAAAGTAGATAACTCAAGAAGTTCTGTTGAAAAATATAATGGCTGTGCGTATTTATGCAATAACTCAAAGACGGAAAGAACTAGAGAGCTGCGGTTTCCAGCACTTACAAGAGAAATGTTAGGACCAGCAAAGTATATCAAAATTTGATTGATCAGCAATTAGTCAATCAGGTGAGTTCAGAATGGAGATTTTCGAAAAAGATATTCTGAAGCTATTTTACTTTTCATTTAGGCTTTTAATATGACTAGTTAGTTCCATTCGAGAGTTATAAGACTTTTGCTGAGACTTCCGATTTCAACTATTGAGATGTGATTGTCTGGAAAATCAGCTAGCCAGGATTAATTCACCATGGTGTGTTCAATGATGATATTTGTCTTTAGTTGAAACTAATCTAACACTGTTATCTCAATGTTTTCGAAACATCAACTCTATGGTTACATGAAGGCTGATTGTAGAATTTCAGAAATATTAAGATAACAGTATCAGATCATTCCGAGCCTAAAACTAAATACCATTACTTGACTCAGCATATTGAATTGTCCCTAACTAGCTGGTTTTCCGTGTGATCATAGCTCAATTAGTTGAAATCAATGGTCTCATGCAAAGTCTTATAACTCTCAAATGGAACTAATTAGTCCTAATAAAAGTCTAAATTGCAAGTAAAATAGCTTCAGAATATTGTTTCAAAGATCTTCATTCAAAACCTACCTGATTGGCCAATTGCAGATCAATTTTATTTCGATATACTTCGATGGTCCTGAATCTTCTCCCTTAAATGCTGAAAACTGCAGCTCTTTCCGTTCTTGAGCTATTGCAAATATATCCATGACTACTATATTTTTGGATAGATATAAGTAATTCGAAAACGCTCTTTTTTCTATTTGATTCAACCTACAGTCTTTCGTTCATTTAATCATCCCATATTTTTCTTCTCAAAAAACTGTTTATACAAACATTCACAAATAAGAAAAATTTCAAAAACACATTTCTAATGCATTTGAACTCAAAAAAACATATATTCTTTAATTATTGAATATCTTACTTGAATTGAATAGATTACTATCAATAGTTGCTGATCCAAGTGCAAGTCGTGGTTGTTTTACTGCTACACCCAAATCATTACTATATAGTAGAATAAAATAAATTTACATTAACTTTTAAAAATAAATTTCAACGTACACTTCTAGTCCTAAAGCTGATGGCCAAACATTTTCTTTGTCAAGTCCTAATGGTCGTTTTCGTGACATACCAAACGAACTCATTAACATTATAATTGATTACTGCAAAAAGTTCGAACAATTAGGTATCAAAACAAACCCTTGATATATAAACAAATGTTGTTGGTCGTTAAACGATGTTGACGAATGAAAACATATGTTTAGTCGACACTATATATATATATGTACATTAAATAGTCAAAGCATGAGAGAAATCGACAGAAAAGAAAGGCATTTTCTATGTATTTTTTACTTTATAACACATTAACTGTGTACAATGTGATATACAGATGTAATATCGTTGTTTTTTGTTCAACAATATCACGTGAAAAGATGCCTGTTGTCCAAAAAAATACAATAGATTTACTTTGCCGGCTAAAATTTTCATGTAGATTGTTAATAATTTAAAAGGATAAAGAATATTTTATTTGTATATTTTATGTCAGTCAATTACGAATATTTTTTTTTTAAATACATTATTTTTATAAATCTTTTATTATGCAAAGAAAAAAAAACACAGCCTAATTCCAATTGTTTTTTGAGTATTTTATTTTACATTCGCTCAATTAAAGGAATCGCAATAAGTGATAATGTTCGTTGTAGAAGAATTACAATTCGTTCAATCAATTCCAAACGAGCAAACATCATTGGTAACAAGTGACTTTGATTTTCCTATTTCAAAAATAAAAGAAGAAAGCATATGTTGATGTTATGGAAGAAGACGTATCTTATTCCTTACAGTTAATATTCGAACTTTTGAATAATAGGGGCTTAAACGTCGACAAAATAAAATAAATTCTTGAAAAATCTAAATATAAAATCAAATTTTTTAAACTTTTTACCTATGCACAATTCATTTATTTTATGAGATATATTGAAAGTTATTGTTTCGCTTAAAGAATTCAATACAATATTAGATAGGATACTTGAATATGAAGCAGTACGACAGAAAAGGAGCTGGAAAATAAGATAGGGAAAAAAACATTATTGTAACTATACGCTTATATATTTTCATAACGACTTTCGATGTTTGGAAATGATTTAGTGGATTATGTCGAAAAGATATTATTATAGATACAATAATTCAAATAAATAGTGCTAGACTCAAGGGTGATCTCTTCAATCTTGAAAAACATTGCCTTTCTTCAAAGCGGAATTCCAGTGTTTTTATTAATTTTTTTGTTCACTAATTCTAAAATAGTCCAATATTTTTTTTGCCCAATGAATGTTACATAGGGTTCTAATAAAAACATTAAAAAGATTTGGGTTTCTATTGATACTTGGGTAAGCTATCGAAATTTTAATGTCTACTCTCTAGAGACCTCAGGTTTTCGGATTTTTTATCTGAAACTTTATGCATATAGAGAACTCAATTGGAATAGCTTCTAAAAAAAATGCAGAAATTTTGAACAAGTCTCTTTGAGATATGAGACATTCAAAAAATGAATGTCGTATCTACTATCCATGAGAAAATGTATATATCTTGAAAGTCGCATATCTCGAAGCGACTTTGTTCAAAACTTCGGAAGATATTTGATGCTGAGTTCTCGATAAGCCCAAAGTTTCAGATGTAAATTCCAAAATATGAGTTTTTTCGAAAACCTCAGGGATCGAGAAAATAAATATATTAAACATTCGATAGCTTAGTCAGATATTAATAGAAATCCAAATTCGTTTAGAGTTCCTATTAGAACACTATGTAGTATCCATAAATAAAAAAAGTCATTCAAATCGAAAAGTGACATCCAAGAAGCTTCCCTTCCTCGACAAATCCTGTCGACATCGTGCAATCCTTGCTAAGATCATCTCTTCTTTCGATCTTTTATTTTTCGTCAATTTGATGTTACTCATGCAGAAGTTTTATAATCGAGCTGATAGAATTTTCAATTAATAATGATTAGATTATTATTACGATCGAATTGAAACTTGATTTGCACTCTTATTGATCACTATTTTTTTCAATATATCTTAATTAGTATCATAAGATTGTACCTTATCCAGATTAATTTGAATTTTATTTCCATTATCAAGCGTAATAATAAGAAAACGAGATTCAAATGAATCAACCCATTTGAGGAATTCTTGTTCATCCTATTTATATTGAGAATAAGTTATTGTTGTTTTTACAAAATTTAAATACTTTACTTTAGTCATCAATGTATCTCCAAGTGTTTTGTTAAAAAATTCTCGTGTTGGATACAAACCTATAGAATGAAAAACAGCAATTGTTTTTCCTTATTATTTTCAAATAGAATATGTTTTTTTAATAAAATACCATTTTGATATTTTTCATTATAATTATTTAGAATTGACATTAAACGTGCACCTGTATATAACAAAAATAAAGTATCGTGATTTGTTTCAAGATTCGATCGTAAATGAACCTAAAATATACATATCTTATTTCCCAACTAATAAAATTAAAATAAATTTTGTTTACAATTGAATTTGCTTTTCGACACATTAATTGTAATTTAAATACAGCCATTGAAATGAAAGGACTCGCAACAGCACGTTCATTAACAATCTTTGCCAACACTTCTCTCAAACATATGAATTCCAACATATACTATTGAGCTATATCGGATGTGAACAATCATTTTCATCATGATTACTTACTTAATATAATTATCAACAGATAGTTCATCATATTTCATTGATGGTCGATCATCACCAATAACAGCAGGTGCTAATGTTAGAAAATACTATAAGAAAAGTCTTAATATAAACAAAAGAAAAACAATCAATACAAACTTGTTTTAAATGAGAATAATTCATATAAATTATTTTTGATAGAATAACAAATAATTCACATTGATATTGAGATTGAAAATCACATATATGAATAATTTGAATTTCATCTAAAGACAACGTTGAAGATAAAAGGACCGGAAGAGAAAAGATCACAAATCGGCCAACTAAGAGTTTCTACGCAATAGTATCATTTTGTAGAGTTTTAAAAGGCCTTTCGATTGGTATATAAACTAAAGTGTGTTAAACTGAAAATAAGAAAGAACAATTGTCTACAATGTCGCCTACAACTACTTAGCCACCCATATGAGTATAGTGTTTGCCTGAAGTATGACCGAAAAAATTTCTCAAAGAGATGTGATGTTGTCATGGTTCACGTACATACTTGTACAGTTTTCTGTGCTCTTTCGAATGATGTATATGCGGTCTCGAATAACATAAATTAGTATAGGCTAATTAATCCATTTCAGCAAATGAGTAAAAGTCATTTTACTGCGAGTTTTATAGGTCTAATACAATGATTGTGTAATGAGCCGTAACGACCCAAATCATTTTCGTTTTATTTAAAAACATCGCCAAACGATTTAGCACAATTTTTTATTCATGCTTCAGTACTTTCTGCGTAGAAATTCTTAGTGAATCGATTTGTGATCTTATGTGCCCCCATTCTTTATATCGATTTCCATTTACCCTTGTATTTTTCTAATACTTTTCCAAATGTGTATAATTTATCAAATAAACGATTATCATCTGGTATTCGAACTAAACAAAAATGTCATTCTAATCGAATATAAAATTTTTTGTCGTTTACTCGAAATATCTTTTGAAGATTTTAATAGATAATCATTATCAACATGCTCAATATTTACTATTAATCGATTATCATTATCATGAGAAATAAATTTTGAATTTTTAAGAAGATTTTCAATTGTTTGTTGTTGATCATTTGTAGATATTTCAAGAAAATATTGTTCTTCATCATTAATTAAATTTAATTTTTGAATAAGATCAATAAATGAACGATTTAAATCATTATCAAACATCATAAGAAATGAATTTTTTGTTTGGTGAAAAATTTTATTCAACACATTTGACCAAAGAATTATTCTTAGTGATGTAAAAACTTTTTCAATAGGTTTTTCACCTAACCAAATTACAAATAAATAAGTCATCTAAAATAAAAGTAGTTCTTTATCATTATAATTGGATCAACATATCAACACTTTCACGTATAATTTATTGTAGAAGTCTTACAATTGATTAAGACAATCTCACGACATTAACAAAAATATCAAGAGAAAATATTCGTTGTTTTATTATGAAATTTATTATGGAAATCATAACTAAATATGCTAAAAAACAGTTATGAATTATGTATTTTAAGAAGATAATCAAACAATGAGAAGATCAAATTATCTTAATTCATATTTCATAGTTTTAGAGTAATATGATCATTTTTTAAATATTTCTATTTTTATCAGATTTGATATTCGCACATTAACGTTTGATTTTTATTCTTGTCTTATATCATAATATTCTTTTTTTCTTTCTAGACATTTTGTAAGAAAATGAATACAAATGAGTAGTTTCAATAGGATTTGCCATTATGACATTCACACGTTGAGATTCATTTCTTTTGTATTAAGAAAAGCCGCTTTTTTTTAATTTTTTTTTTTTCGTCATTAATATGACGGTGAAATGTTCCAAAATGCTCTATATTCTTGTAAACGATATTTTAATTAAAGATTCATAATGGCATTTTTGAAATCGTATAGAAATCTATTAATAGCTTCAATTAGCACTTCAGTGGTTTCCAACATTTTAAAATATTGCTTTGCATAATTCGTATTAAAATTGATTTGTAGTTTCAACAAGAGAATTTTAGTTAGCTCATTATGTTTCCTTCTCTATGGATAGGTTGTACTATATCAAAACTCTTACATTGACCTGTCTTTTTTTCTTGTGACTATTTAATAAATTCTCCTTCTTGCATTGCACGTTCAGTTTGTCATGAAGTTTCAATTTTTCTGCCTTCTAAGTCACCTAGGAACCAACATGTTCTTTCATCTCGTCTTATACGTGTTGATATTAATATTATTTCACCCCAATCTGTATTTTAAAGAGAAATTTTAACTGGAGAAAATAACTTGATTCAACAAACCATCAGGCATAATTTGTAGTGTTTGCAGAACGTGAACGACTGACAATAGTATAACATAGGGGTGTTTCCATGATTAGTAGTCACCATTGCGTTAATAAATGATAACCCGCTTCGACGGGTAAAGTCATCTTAAAAAGTTGAGATTCTCGAATAAAACTATCGACACGATAGAAAAATTTTACTTTATTTAAATAAAAAAAAAACAAAGATATTCATGTTAAAAAGTACATCATTTCGATTAAATTCTAAATATTTCTACATAACTAATGAGTTAGTTATTTGTTAAGTCGGTTAATACTTTCTTATCTATCGTTACAAATCTTTTAATGCTTAACGAAACAATAGAATAACTAATATTACTTTCATCTATAAGAAAAACTTTTTGAATTTTTTTCATTTTATAATCCATAATTTTAAAAGGAAACATTTTTAAGATATTGAAATATATTTGAATTTTATCTTAAAATCAAGATTTTTGTTTTTGTGTTTTTAACAACAACCACACGGATATATTTGAGAAAGATATTAGTAGCAACAAGATATACATAACATGAACAAGGCAGTACTAAAATCACACACATATTTACAAAAAAAAACACTTGTTGTTTTTTCAATTAGGCAACTAATCGAACGGAAATTAGGAACCTTTTTGTCTTTAAGGAAAGATAAAGGATCAAGGTCACCGGATATTTGAGAGTGTTTCTGTACGTGTGTGTATGTGTGTGTGATGAAAAGAAAGTCTATTGGTAGATTTTTTTTATAAAACAATATTAATAATTGCAGAACACTTGTTAATTTTTATACATTATCAAGTGTAAAAAAAATATGATAGTTATTGAGAAATGGCCGAATGATGAGAATTACTGTTGATTAAAGTAGCTAAATTTGTTGTTTGATCATCAGTCTAAAAGAAACAAAAATCAACATAAAATTCAAATCCATAATTAACGAGAAGTTTATCCGATGAGTTTGTAGAACTAACAAAAGAAGTTCTTCAACTTCTGATAAACTGCTATTGAATCGAGACTATGTACATTATGCACACCCGAATCAACTATGAAAATCCAGAAAAGATTTCGTGTTCTTAGCTTATCGCTGTAAAGATGCTGTATTTTTTAAATTGATATCGTGGTCGCCCGCAGAAAAACTGATTTTCGAATTACGACTTGAATCGTTGCACACAGACAAATCTTAGCGAGTTTCGTTTCTTGTAAAAGTTTCAAGTGTTTTTGATTTGTTTCTATCCTGAAATAAGAACATCGAATCTGCTAATGCATCTAAGTGATATAAACTTTCAAGTCGAAGTTTGAAAATCAATTATTTTGGACCACAATATTTTTTTTTAAATATTGTAAAAAGGCAGTATTTCGACTAGAGGTGTAAGTCGATGCATTGATCGGCAGTTGTGGAGGTTTATATCTCTAATTTTGGTAGTAATAAACTAAAGGTACGACCTCTGTTTACAATATTCATAGCTTATTTGAGTCTACATAATGCACATAATCTCAACTTTTATTAGTTGGAGATCTCTCCTCGTAATTTTTTTTCTCTTTCATATAGAGCATCTCAATGCAAATTTTATTCATTTGATGAGTAATAGAAATGACTAGAATAACATTTGAGGAAGTTATCTTGTAAGTTTAAATAAACTCGTTTTCTAAAAATTAATTGATTATTTCATTTTTTACATACGGAAGTAGTCTGTAGAATATTTTGTGGTTTTTCCCATATTGTAATAACACCATCTTGTGATGATGTAAATAAACAATTTTCACCAAAATAAATTCCATTTAAACGTTCATGGGAAATAAATTCAGTAACAATAGGTTCAATAAGTTGTATATCATCTAATCGTGGACATAAACTTGTACCAAATGTACTTTTTGTTAAATCAAAATTTGTTCGACGTAATGATAAACTATTATTTGTTAATGTTGATAATGATGCTTGACCAGAATCATTTGATACTGTTGCATTTGTTGATATTAGGGATTTAGAACCATTTGACATATGTGGTAATAATGGTATTTTTCTTGTTCCTTTTGATGAACCATTTGAAAGTGTTATTAATGAAGTATCAGGTGTATCATCAATAGATTTGTGAACTTTATTTGAATTACGTGAAAATGCTAAACGTGATGTTAAAGATGAAAATGATGATTTTCTTGTTGTAGATGATGTATTTGTTGATGTTAATGCTGTTGTATCAGATAAATGTGATGAATAACCATTTGACATTGATGATATTAATGGATGAATTAATGAATTGTTTTTAGTACTATTATTATTAGTTAAATGGATTTTATTTATTTTAAGTATATCTTCTGTTATATCCCAAAAACATAAACGATTATCTTGTCCAACTGAACCAATACGATAAAATAATGATGGAATATTTGTATCAAAAATTGATGAATTACTTTTTGTATATGAATTTGATTTCGATATTCTATTATAATAAGTATCATTATCATCATTTAATGATGATGATGAATTTTTTTGTATAAAGGATGAATAATATGTTTTAGCATTCATATATGGATCAAATGATATTGCACTTATCCATGATGTATGACCATATCCACGACATAAAACACGTGGTGAATGTTCTTCAGGATCAATAGAAAATAACGTTATAAAATCATCTTCACCACCAGTTGCAAGATATCTACCATCCGGTGACCAACATACCTTAAATAAAAAATGAAAATTTTATTTGAAAGAATTTTTTCTTAAAGAAAATTCATAAATTATATTCATAATAATGTTGATTAGAAGTTAATATTTTAATAAATGAAAAGAATATAACTTTCATAAGAGATCATTACGATCGTTGGATATGAATTAATTTTCATCGTTTTTATAAATGATGAGGATTAGTTAATAAAATATAAATGAAAACTTTATCATGATATATTGTAATTGATGGGTCATAAACAATGGTACTTTTTGAATTAGAACCTTATTTTTTTTTTGCCAAATAATGCATTCGAGTCAGTCAAATAAAAAAGAGCTATCGAAAATCGTTTTGTAATACTTTTAAAATTCTCAAATTTTCATTATGATATTTCAGTTTTAAAATGTTTGAGATTTGTGTTAAGCTGACAGCCTATGAAGTGGACATGTTTAATAAAACTAATGCTTTATATGATAGATGGATTAAGAAATGACGGTTTATTGATTGTTAACATATCTTAAAATAAATCGCAATAAATTACAACCTGAAATATCATCAGAAAAACTTCAGCGTTTTGAAAGTAATGCTAAAAAATTTCAGAAAATTCTTATACATATAAACAATAATGAAGGTTTTATTGATAAAGATATGCATCGCAAATCTATTGAATAAAAATTCGCATTCAAATCATAGAATATAAATAAGAAATCAGAAAAACCAAAAATAAAACGTAATATACTTTACAGGTCAGTCCAAGGAATAAATAGCGAAGTCTTAGAATTGAATAGAATCCAGAATTCCTATTTACTTCTTGCATCAGTCTCAATCGAGGTTTCAACATATGATACATAGAGGGAATCTTCCCCTCAGCTCCCCCCCCCCTCGCCCCCGCTCACCTCAGGTAATGACAGACGCTACTCAGAGATTACTACAGGCCATGGCAAACATCATAACAAAGTTCTCGCTCTTGGTCACATACATTTTCGATAGACGATCAAACACTGAATGTAAAAAACGCCTCATTATAATATATAAACTACTGCCTTATTGCTGTTCTGAATAATTATGTAAAAGGATGGTGAAGAAATATCTCCGACACTAGATAGAATAAAACAATCTTGCTGTGATTAGTAACAGCAAGTACATCGTGTTGCATTTTTAAATTCCGCCAGGCATTGTACTAACAGTTTTTGTAGTTTCGGTTATAACTTGTAAGATGTAATTATTCTAAGGTTTAAATTTCTACAAAAAGAAAATCTGGATTATGAACTATCTAAAGAAGACGTTCTACTAGGTAAAATTTGTCTTTAAGCAGAATAAAAAATCATAAATCCGAAAGGTTTAGACAAATCGCTTCATAAATCTAAACCGAACAAAGAGACATAAATCCTATTTTTTAACATTCTGTATAGTCTTCAGTCTATACCAAAGAAAAAAAAAGTCGTAACATGAAATGTTTCATGTTACTGTTTTTCTTTTTGATTGAAAGATACATACGCAAAGAAGACCACCAAAATAACTTCTCATATAAGCAACTAATTCTTTTTTTTCATAATTAAATATTCGTAGAAATCCATCTTGTGATACAACAGCTAGTAAAATATGATCAGGAGAAAAAGCAAATTCATTAATACTTCCACTACCAATCGACCAACGTGATACAGGATTACGTGCTTGTTTTGTTTTACTCTATTAAAGAAAAAAAGAAACTGAATAAAATAATTCCATTGATTTGTAATAAAAGACAAACTTTTAAATAAGATATGGAAAAATTCTTTTCATCATCTTTTATTGTTGTATATGTCGGTTGAATAGTTGTATCACGTTGATAATTAAGTTGTTCATCAAATATATACAAATAACCGCTTGAGTATGATACAGCAAAATATGTTTTTGGTGATGATAACCATTTAATACATGTTACTTTTGTTTTATCCAAATAACTCTAAGAAAATAATGTTCTTTTTTTTATTTTGTCCTTCTTTTTTTCTAAACTTACTCCTTCATTAAATACTTTTTGTTCTTTTGTGTATGTATTTATATATTGTATTTGTCCTTTAGAAAAACCAACAAGTATATGCAAAATATTTGTATCAGGCTGTTGCATTATATCATGACATGTTGGTTGATGATTTTGTTTATAAATACGATGATCAATTGGTTCACCAAAATTCGGCTAAAAATTTTTCAAATTCAAAAAAGAAGGTTCTTTTTTGTTGTCAACGATCAAATAGAACAATCGTTCAATAAGCTCTGAATATCTGTTTTCAGACAAAATAATATTTTAAAACCTTAACAAGGAAGTTTTCCAGTTGATTAAATGCTTTTAATCTTAGAACTATATGGACTCAAATGAGATATGAATATCCAAAAAAAGTTCAAGTTTTTAGTTTATTATTTCTCGGATACAGTAGTTTTTAAATAAATGCCCTCAGATAGAGCCTGCAGGGTCAAATCTTTTCAGACTTGGCTGACAGAAAAGTTTTAGATTGAGTTCAAGACTCATCTGACGGCTTTTACCGTCAGAGATACCGACAAAATTGATTTTCAAAGTTTCACTTGAAACTTTTTAAGCATTCAACTTTTAACGAGTTCATTTTGACACTTCCAAAAAGTATCCGAAATCCTTAAATCGTCAGATAGATACAAAAATTTTAAATCAATTGCAAGAAATCAGTGTTTTGAAACTGTCGAACTCCAGATGACAACAGTTTATTTTGAAAGTTTCAAATCTTTCGATTTGCTTCTATCCTGAAATAAGAACATCAAATCTACTGGTGTATATGAGCGATATAAAAGACACATTTTTTTTTATCAGTGTGGTATCTTAGAATTGGAACAACAATCAGATTGAAAGCACATACAAGAAATTATTCACATTAAGAACTGTCTCTATACAAAGTTTCGAATCGAAAATCAATTTTCTTGATGAAGACCACAGTATTCATTAAAAAAATACCGTAAAACTGCAGTATCTCGTCAGCAATAAGCTAAAGACTTGAACTCGTTTTTAGGTTATTTATAGTTCATTTGGGTCTATTTGATGCACATAGTCCCGATTCAAAAGCGACTTATCAATCAGGGAACCTCCCTTGTTAACAATCGAACTTTCTATAATTTGGTTTTTGTATACCGTTGTGTGTTACTTTATTTAGAAAGTGATAAATACGTCTAGTGGTTTAATCAAGGTCAGACATATCCCCCTACCATCAAAAGAAAGAGAAACATAATATTTGTCATCATTGACCCTATATCGTATTCAGTACTCTCAGTATTATAAAGTGCTTTCACTACAACTTCCTATCTTCTTATTCAGTTACTAGATTGATTTTTAGTAACATTAATTAAAATCGAAAAGCTTTGTTTCATGAGAAATGTAATATTAAGTACAAATTTAATGATATTAGAAGATATTAAAGAGTAGTAGACTTTTAGCAATAAAAATTCGTCTAGTTTTTCTTTTTGTTTTATAAAACAAACCTGTGTTGCTTCAGCAAATTCATAAATAATCAATTCTCTTCCAACATTAAATGCTAATATTTCTGTTACAATTAAATTTCCATTTTGTTGATTTATATCAATTTCATTTAATATTGATGAAGGTCTTCTTTCATTTGAATTTTCATTTGATTGATTATCTAGATTAGGTTGTATTGAATCATGATTATTACTAGTATTATTTAATGTTGATGAACGTCTTGAACTCGTTTGACTATTCGAATCAGTAATTGTTTGTATTCGAGTCATCAATGTTATTTTAACCGGTTCATTTAAACATGTATTTGTACCGAATTTTCCAAGGTTATCAATAATTGAAGATATTTTATATGTACCTTCTCGCGCTGTAAATTCTGTTTTAACAATATCACTACGTTGAATTTGATCTTTTGCTATATTCACTTGATTATTACATGAACGTGATGTAACTGATGAAGTTAATGTGTTTATTGGTGTTGAATGGCTAAAATTTGATGTTTCTGTTCGAGCCATTAATATTATTATTGAATGAACCAATTGAAAACGAAAAAATATATTTAATAAGTAAGAACTTCATTCGGTAGAATGATTGAAAGAAAAAATAATCATATATCTCATTTTATTTTTATGATTAATATTTCGGAATACATATATATATACTTTTTTTTCAATATCTTAATCGCCATTTTGTTTTCTTTTCTTGTTCTGTACAATTTGAATTGGTGAATAAAATAACAAATCAGAAAAAAATTAATAAAAAAATATAAATATGATTTAAGAATCTTTATTTTTTAATATTGTTTTGTTTATAAAATAAATAATTGAATAATGACAAAAAACTTTAGGATAGATGTCGAATGAATTGATTGGAGGATTAAAAGACTTTCCATTGGTCGAGGAAAGTGTTTCATTATTATATCTATTTGATTTTTCGAAATTCAGTAGTCATAGTGTAATAGTTATATGTTTCACAAGAGATTTTTTTCATAGGTAGACAATAATGTTTTTAATTAGTTAGAATTGAGATAGAAGATAGTTTTAATGAGTTACGTGTTGATTTCACTTTGCCGAAGGCAATTGCATTCGTGGTTAATCATCAGCGAATAAAAAAAATCCTTGGTTATGATTGTAAAAAGCCTTCAGCTGACACTCGTTTTTTTTTTTCGAAAATATCTTATTTTACCTACGAATATGCTTATATAACTTGATCATCAAATGAGTTAAGCAATATAAATGCTTTTATGAGTATATTCTCGTACACAATGAAATTTACAAGATTCTTTAAAACTATTTAAGATCTTGCAATGAAAGAAAACTTTAGACTCGAATAATGATGTATTTATGAACTTTAAAAATGTTTTTCAGTTTATGAAAATCAATATTTCGAAAATAGATCAACTACTAAACAAGAAAGAAAAGCTTCAAAAAGAAAAGAATGAACTGAATAAATCTTGATTGTATACTATTGATTATTTTAGTGATATCTTACTTGTCTCTATTTGTAATCTCATCGAAAACAATATGTTCTTCCGTAATAGAATAAATTCTTAAGGATAGATAAATTAAATGTGAAATTTTATTTTAGATTAGTATTTTTTTTTGATATAAATTGACAAAATGGCGATGCAAAAACGTGCTAATCTTCGTTTACCACCAGAAATTAATCGAGTTTTATACGTACGAAATCTTCCATATAAAATAACAGCTGAAGAAATGTATGATATTTTTGGTAAATATGGAGCCATTCGACAAATTCGTGTTGGTAATACACCTGATACACGAGGTAAGAAAAGACTTTTTTTTTTCATTGTCTAATAAATATGTGATTGTGTTTTTCTTCTTTTCTTTTCTTTTCATATAAATAGGTACAGCATTTGTTGTTTATGAAGATATATTTGATGCCAAAAATGCATGTGATCATTTATCTGGTTTTAATGTTTGTAATCGTTATTTAGTTGTACTTTATTATCAAGCAACGAAAGCATTTGATAAAATCAATTTAGATAAAGAAAAAGAAAAATTGGCTAAAACCCAAGCTAAATATGGATTAAATACATAAGATCGTTATTATTTATGCACAAAGTGTTGTTTTTTTTTTTGAATATTGTATATTGCACTAATATCTTGAGTGGAAAGAAAACATATAAAATAAATAAATCCAAAAAAAAAAAAAGAATGAATAATAAATAATTTGTTTATTCGTATTCGATAGTTTAATGCAAACATAGGAAGTTGTTCTTTTACTATCAAATATTAATCAGAATGTTTTATATAATATGTTTGTCACAAAAATAAGTCTACAATATGTTTTTGTATGTGATTAATATTATGAATGACAGATTTGTTAAACAAAACGAGGATTAAATATCTATATTGTTGAATAGGGTTTTATGAAAGATACGTTGATTCGTTTTCATTTTCGTTTTTATTATTGAATTTTGATAGAGAAGAAAGACTGATTGTCACCTTCGTGATTGAATGAATGTGATTGTAAATTAAAACCGAAAGAGAAAAAAAAGAAAGAAAATGAACTTTTTCGTTCGTTTTCGTTTTTTTTTCATTTTCTTGTAAAGTTGAAGAGTTTATTTCGGTCTATGTTGGACTTCTTTCTTCCTTTGATTTACTACTGTGAGATATTCTGACTTTCTGTATCAAGCAATATGTTCGTTTGATGTTTATCCAGCCAAAATCGTTACTCTATCGTTCTTCGTTTCAATTGCTGTGAGCCAAACAGTCAAAATCACTCGTTACCGAATCGGAGAACTTGAAATTCACTTGAGTTTCTTTTTTCTTTTTTCTTTTTTTTTTGCTTCTCATTGCCAGCATCGTTATTGATAAGAGACAGAAAGAGAGAGAGAATAAAGTGACAGTTGAAAGGAAAAAGAAAAGATGGTAATAAAGATGCAGAAGGAAAGGTAACATGGCTTTACTTTTTTCCTGCTTAAAGCAATATGAAGCGTGAGTGTGCGGAAAAAAAACTTGATAAAAGACAAACCACAAATTGTACATACCACAAGAAGAGAGAGACAGAGAGAGAGAGAGACAGAAAAAAAGAAGTAGTTGAAACCAAGCGACCTTGAAAATCTTCATCTGTCATGACAAGATGTAACAAATATAAAAGAATAATTGTACTGTCAAAAAAGAAAAAAACGAATATCAAATTTTCATTCTTGTCAATGTCCATTTTTGACATTAAAACAAATTCTACGGTCAGTTCATTCATATTGTTATTATATCAATGTTTAATGTACTTATAAATTGGTTATATATGACTTTATTAGCTTTAATTCGGTTCGACTTTATATGATAATAATACAAGAAAAAAATATGTTAATCGTAGAGACTATAATCCTCAATTTAATCATTATTAAAGTTGTACTTATTGATTCTTTTTTATTTCACGATTTTTTTTCTTGATGGCATTATGTAGAATTAAAAAACGAGAAGTGTTCAACTACGTTGTCATGTTAACATCAAACAATTTCGAACATTTAGTGATTATATTGATTCAATGAAAATAAAACAATATTGTTTGATTGAGATTGATTGGACAAATTATATGAAGAATTTCAATTATTCTAGGTGATACATAATATCTAAGGTAGTATTAATTATGTAAGATTTACTTTTTTTGTTTCGATTAATTTCTGAATCAAGCAAATGTTCATATAGTTTTTATTAAAACAACAAAAGAATCTGCGTAGTTTTCAAGAAGAAAAAAACCCGCAGTTTTCTTATCTTTGTTAACCTATCATTAAATATATATTATATTTTTTATGATACTTCATCGAAGTAAGTTTCATGCAGTAAAACGGAGTCTTTACTATAAGAAGAAAATATGTCGCCTATCACATAAAAAGTCATTGAAAGAATATATATCGGTAGTTAAGAAAAATTTGCATGCCATGCATAACATATCGATGATTTCTGCCTCCTAAAATAAGTTACATTGTAAATTCTGGTTAGAGTCTATTGAATACACTACGAGACGCTTTAAAACAAATGTATCTGTAATCTGTCAGTCTTACCTCTGGTAAATAATGATTAATATTCATTCATGTGAATGAGTTTATGCTTTTAGATCAACAAGTTAAAATAAAGTCATTATATTTTAAGTTCTATTTACATTTATATTTTGGTTCATATGCATGAAACAAAAAAGAATACACTTAAAGTGAAGAGTTCTTCATAGATCTAAAAAGTTGGCCAACAGAAACATATACAACGAAAAAAAGTCGCATGTTATGAAATAAAAACATTTTGTTTTTGTTATAGAAATTATGAAACGAAAGGAAGATTTTTTTTTTCTTTTCGAAATAAAAAACAAACAAACGTATCTTAGAATATTTAACATAAACATCGATTTCTATACAAGGAAAAAACAAACAAACAGGTGATTAAGTTTCTTTTTTTTCTATTAGTATGATTCTTTACATATTTATTTATATTACTAAGGATGAAATTACTAATGTTACTTTCATCAATTTATTGTTGAATAATCATATGAATATATGGTTAATGTTGAACACGAGTAAACTTTACTTTTTTTTTCAAGTGATACAATAAATGTAAATGATTTTATACTATCGAGTACATATATTTTAGGATGCATTTTCGATAGACGAATATTTTTATAGTGAATCAAAAACTATTTTGCTTTTAGATAAATAAATATGGCTCATCGGTACGACGATCAACAGCAAAGTCAACAGCTGTTGACCATCGTAGACCGAGGTACTCCAGAACAACTTTTTGTAAGTTTAAAGTTTGAATAGATGCAAAAAAAATTCACTTTTGCTTTGTTTGTACAGGCATTTTTACAAAAATTTCATCGAAAACCTTTTCAAAATTTGACTGATGTTATTCAATATAAGAGTGTTATTGATGATCAAATTGATTTTATTAATTGTACAGGTACAAAATATAGTGTTACACCATTGATGATTGCAACTGGAAAAGGTTAAATAGATGTGTTTTTTTTTCTTTTATTTACTATAATTTGTCGAAATATTAATCTATAGGTTCATATGAAAAAGTAAAAATTCTTCTTGTTCATGGTGCAGATCCAAATAGACAATGCGCAACAGGGTATGCAAAGAAAATAATTATTTATATTGAAATATATATTTTTCAAGTGTGTTTTTTTTAGTGATACAGCAACAAATTTAGCCGTTCATCGTCAAAAATATCTTATTGTTGAGTTACTTCTTCAATATCATGCTAATCCAAATGTATACAATCAATCGGGTAAAACAGCATTACATCGTGCTGTTATGTCATATAGTGATGAAAATGCTTATCATATTCGAACATTACTTGATGTAAGTTTATTTAATTAGAATAATTATTTCACTATAGATGAAATTCAAGTTAAGTTCGATGAATTTTCAGTGAGAAAGTTTCATCATGAAAACCTATATTTACTGTAATTGATATAAAAAATGAACCGATAGTTTTGTTATAAAATATTTCTTCGTGTTTCGATCAATTAAAACGGCCAAGAGAAGCTATAAAATATTGTTTTAAAGTCAGAAATGTGTGCTCTTTCCGAATTTACTATATACTTCAAATATAAGTTTTCTTCATTGTGTTTTGAATAACTTTTGATAAGAACATCACAGAGACCTGCGGTTTTTACCACTCAAGAGAGAATATCAGAAACCATAAAAGTTTATCGAAATTGGATTAGTTAACAATCAACTAATCAGATGAGTTCTTGATAGAATTTTTCGAAAACGATATTCTGAAACTATTTTTATATTGACTTAGACTTTTGATATATTTTTTTTTTCATTAATGCTTTATTTTTATTCAATTTGTATGAGTACAGAAACTAGATCCTAAGTCCCGGTTTCCAATCGTTTTCGCGTTTTTACAAGTAATTAGAGTAAATCAAGTTCGAGAAACAGTCGAGTCGATCAATAAACAGTTTGCATGAAGTAATCAATTAGTATTGTGGCCGTAAGAGCAGNGTATCGTAAATCCGGAGCTACAATAGAAATTGAAAGAAAAATGCAGCATATTTCTGCTTCTATAAGAAAACTTTTACTGCTGACTTAATTCAGAGAACCTAACTTTTTATGTGTGCCAGACGATTGTTGTACTGATCGGGATCAAAAATCAAAGTTTATTCATTAAAAATAGTCTCTACAATTGTCATAATTATTGAATTATGTATCTCCAACTCACCTTCAATGTCAATTAATTTATAAAAAAATAATGATAAATTATAATTGATTATATCATTGCGACGAATTGTCCGGTCACCGCTGTTGCTGTGGCTGTGTGCGGGAGTGTGTTTCTAATTATACCTAAATTGACACTCATACCCTTAAGAGTGATGAATTTTTCTCCAATAAACATCGATCGGTTGTGGTGATTGTGATGAGTTTTTAAAAAAATTATAGCCCAATTGATTTGTAATTGTCCATTATAGCCCAGCCCTCAGAATAATTTAGCTGGAAAATGGCGCATTACTCAAAAATTCCTGGCTACGCCACTGTATGTGATATAAATTTTATGTAGTAAATATCAGCATTTCATTCTCTATTACCTTGTATCAAAATATTCTTTCAAAATGAAAAGAAAATTTTTACAAAAAATCCCCCTACCTCCCTCCAGGCCTCTTCCTGTAACATCTTATTCTCATAGCCCCTGTACCAGAGATCCAAACAGGCCTCGTTTTTTAGGCCTGTACGGCCTGTCAGGGCCTGTCAAATTTTTCGAGTGTGTACAATAATGATGACAGACTAGAAACCATATATCCAAAGAGGACACTAGGCCTATTACTCAACCCGATCCTGACCCAGCTGTCATAGGCATCACCCATGGTTTTCTGACTAATGAAAGTGACAGGCCCAGACAGGCCGACAGGCCAAAAATTGCTTGAACCTCTGACTTTCACTAGTCGAAAAACCATGGGTGATGCCTATGACAGTCGGGTCAGGATCGGGTTGAGTAATAGACCTAGTGCCCTCTTTGGATATATGGTTTCTAGTCTGTCATCATTATTGTACTCGCTCGAAAAACTTGGCAGGCCCTGACAGGCCGTACAGGCCTAAAAAACGAGGCCTGTTTGGACCTCTGCTAGGCAGACTTTTGATATGACTGACTGATCGATAGAAAAAATTCTTCTCCTTCGATCTACAAGAGCCCGCTTTTTTTCTGAGATCCTCGATTTCAACCAATTGAGGTGCTATCACCCGAAAACACAGCCACGCATGGGGAATTCTCCAAGCTGAGTCAAATGGTCATATTTATTTTTAGTTTCGAAATGGTCTTACTCTGTTATCTCAGCACTTCTGAAACTCTACAATCCGTCTCTATGTAACAAAGTAGTCGACATTTCGGAAATATTGTGATAACAGTGTCAGATCAGTTTGAACTTAAAAGTAAATATCATCATTCAGCTCAGCATGGTAAATTATTCATGCCAAGCTGTTTTTCTGGGTAGTAACAGATCAATTGGTTCAAATCGGGAAGTTTCAGGAAAAGTCTTATAACTTTTGAATGAAACAAGTTAGGAATGTCGGGCTTGTGTAGATCAAAAGAGAAGACTTTTTTTTATCGATTAGTCTTATTAAAAGTCTAAATCAAAACAGAAATAGCTTCAGAATATCATTTTCGAAAGTCTCAATCAAGAACTCATCTGATTGGTCTATTGATGACAAATCAAATTTCGATAGACTTCTATGGTCTTGAGTCCTTTCTCCTAACTGGTTAAAACCGCAGGTCTGCATGATGTTCAAAATCAAAGAATTGTACCCATAATTGATATTAAAACTTCTATTTAGGCTGGAGCTGATCCAAATATTGAAGATCGAAATCAACGAATGCCACTCGATGAAGCTGTTATTGCCAATAAGCCTGGTAGAAAACATTAACAAGAAATTCTTTATTTGAATTTTCCTCTTGATTAGGAATGGTTGATATTTTACTTTCTTATAATCGAACTGCAGTCAAACGTGCTTATCGAGCAGCTATAATTGCTTCTCGTCTTGGTAAATTTCATTTTTATTTTGATATTCAAATATTTATTCTTCTTAGGTCACGATAAATGTTTGGAAATATTACTTAATTATGGTATGGATCCAAATATAACTGATCGAACAAATGTTACACCACTTCATGTGGCGTATGTCAAAAACAAACAAAAGAAATCTTTGACAAATTTTTTCAATATGTTTTTTTTTCTCTCAGAATTCGTTCATTAAGATTATCGACAGTTCGTCTTTTGGTTGCACATGGTGCTGATCAAAATATAGCAAATAATCGAGGTGAAACAGCCTTTGCTATAGCTGAACATTTACAATCAAATCAGCAACAAAATTTTATGGATGCTCTTATTCGTAAGTATATTTAATGAATTAATCGAATACTTTTGTCTAAGTATGCTTTATAATTCCATTGATCAATTATTTATTATATCTATAGCATCTGAACCGAACGAAATAAGAAATAGAAAAAATTTAACTTCAATACCTCTAATGAATACAAAGTCAGCTACAGAAATCATATCCAATGGAGGTGTAAAAATGTTGAAGGAGTGAATTTGCTTTATTATTTATCGCCAGCTTCTTCTTCTTTCATCATGAAGATTTATTATATAATTTAATTAGCATATTTTTTTTATTAATTTAGGTACACCGCAAAGAACATCGTCAGATTTTCTAACATACACAGCAGGTAATTTCCAAATAATGAAAAAACAAACCAACAAATACTAACACACATCTGGCTTTTATCTCTTATAATCGAGTATGAATTAGCGTTCGGCACGGATACAACTTTTCGCAACTGGACCCGAGCTTATCGACATCTGATTGACATTTTTCAACTTTTATCTTATATGGAAAAGTATACTGTTTAGTTTCTTCCATAAAGAGTAACAAAAAAGAAAAAAGAGATCATTTCAATTTCCACAAAAAAAAGGGAGTGATTTAGGATTCATTTGATGCCTTTCTGCTTCTAAAATCTGATCAATTTTACTATAAATTTTGATGCCAATCGTCATAATTGTTAATACATATATGAATGCTTTTCCAATTCCGTTCACTTGTTTTGTTAATTAATTTTCCTCTTTATGTATTCATTTACTTCATCAAATGATTCCTCATGGCCTATAAATACATTTTCATTAAAAACGAACTCTTTTAGTAAAACAATATCGCTTGTCACTTTTGTGACAATAAATTGTTCTATCATGATTGAAATATTTTTCACTTCTATACTTTTTTATCAAGATTTCATTCATCTTCAGGTTCGGTTTCGGTTATCGGATCATATCCAGAACTTACTTCGACATTTGTTTTTCTTGCCGGGTAACTGAACTGGTTGCAGGACACTAGTAGACATAATAAGTGATTCTAACTTTGAATGTATATTATATTGTTTTTGCTGGATAGTAATATTAGATTTCAAAGATATTCATCACGGCTGAATGCCTGCCGTGATAAGCTATAAAAAATGTGTTTTGAATTTCATTGATGTAATTATAATGAATTAGAACCTTTGTCACCAATTCATGATATTCATCGAGTTTCAAAGTGTTTGCTTTTATGAACATTGAAACTCCGTGTGAAATCATGTAGTTATTTAAATGTTTTAAAAGGAAAGTTGTTAGTACAATCCTTGTGGAATTAAAATATAAAACACGATATAGATGTTATTTTTACTCTCAAAAATAGAAACGCCAAATTGTCTGTCATAGTCTGTGAGGTGAATCCAAATATATATCCTCTACCCTCCTTTTAGATCATGTTTTCGCAATAGTTGCCAACGTCACGGTCGCATTGTTAGAATCTTTTCCGCATCGTGATGTTTGTTTAAAGAACCTACCGTAACTGTAACGGTGGCTGCGCTATGATTAACATCTCTGTTAGATTTCTAATTTAAATAAGTAATTGAAATCTTTTTTTATGTTGCATTTAGGAAATGCTGTTTCACATATATGTCCATTACTTCGAAGTCATCCAAATTGGACATTAGATAGTGACAAATTTCGAAGCGTGACAGCTGAAGATTCATCTGTACAAAATTTACTTGACAGTAAATTGATATTTTCTTTTATGTATATTTTAATTAAAAAAGAACTTTTGTTTGTTTAGTGTCGAATGATACATATTGGCATTGTACAGAATCTAAAAATGCATGGATTATTTTTGATTTAAAACATGAATATAATATAACTGGCATGAGAATAATTGGATGGTAAAAAGCGAAAAAGAGAACAAAATGAAAAATAAAAAATTATTCAATATTTGTTTTTTTAAGTGAAAATCAATCGGCACCAAGAATTGGTCATCTTGATGTGTCAAATGCTTTCAATGGTCCTTGGTTTAAAATTATAGATTTTACTTGTGTATTATGTCGTAAGACAAAAAAAAACAAGATTTTTGTTCGATAAAAGAGAAATAGTTGTTCGTTTATTTATTTTATTATAGAGGGAAATAAAAATGATTTCTTTTTTTCGCCAATAACAACTCGTTATATTCGAGTTTCTATTTCGGATAATTATGGTGGTGTGGATATTCGAATACAATTTATTGGCTTTTTTGGTGTTGATATGCGTTTAGTTGATTTACTTCGACAATATCAATTAGAGAAAAGTCTTAACACACTTTTAGCTAATGCAAGAAATTAAATTAATAGAGAAAGAAAAAAAACAAATCCTTAATTATTTTATTTATATTATAGGGTATTAATGATCAAGAAACATTAGATGAAAAGCGTGATGAAATTTTAAATTCATCGGTAAGCAAATATGAACTTTTAAAGTAAAATAAAACATCCTTATTGAAATATTTTGTGTAGTGTTATCAATAAAAATTCTCATTAACATCATAAAGCATTAGAATGCATTTAACAGAGTTATTCAAATTCATGAGGAAAGTTTCCCAACTGATCTCATTAATGCATATCTCTATGACAATTCGAAAATAAATTTTTCTTGAGGCAGCTCACATCATTGCCTTGAACAAAATATTGTAAAAACCCAAAATATTCGCAGCAATAAGCTAAGAGCCCAAACTTTTTTCAGGGTATCAATAGTTCATTAGGATCTAACTGGTGGCCCATAAAGAATGGCGGTGTCAGCATTTCGTGAATATCTCCCTCAATTTTCATTGCCCAGGCTTCAACCTTTATCTAAAAGACGCGCCATTCAATTCTCTACAAAATTATATGAAAAGAAACTCTTCCGATGAATAGCTGAGAAATCATATCTGGTCAACACTGCAATGCTCCAAAGAAGCCCACTTTCAAATCACTGTTTTTCGTTTTTACAATGTTGCGTNACTTCGGTTTTTTGTAAAACTTTCTAAGGAAAGTTTTTTTGGGGATTTTGATCTATACTGTTTTCGATAGAGAACTTCAAGGGCTATCGAAATCACTATTTAGATTTGATCTAGCTATTCGTCTTCATTGAAAAATCTCAACGACAAAAGGGGGGCTATAATTTTGTTATACCCTGTATATATATATATACAGATTCTCTAATGGCATTAAACAAAAAAGAATATGAGACACAATTGATTGTTATTTTAAATAAATAAGAGGATTTTCCTTTAGTTCAAGTAAATATTGTCTAAACTTACATGGAGAAATTGTTGTTGTTAATAATATGTCCGCTTTATTACCATGACATTCTGCTTGTTCATATGGGACACATGTTTTTGTAATACGATCAAAAAGAAAATTATATGGACATGTTCGTTGTTCTAAATGTCCATCAACACATTGAATATATTGAGAACATACCATTGGAACAGCAAAACGCATTTGACTTGAATAATTTGCAGGACATGAATTTTGACCTATGAGAATATTCAATAAGAAATAATTAAATAATAGATAAATATATACATACATTCAAGTACTTCATGAGGCCAAGCACAATTTTCTAATCCTAGAAAAAAAACGGCTTTGTTTATTTAATAAGTGTTTTTAGATTAATAATAAAACTTTACTTGAACTCCATACACGACCAGCCGAACAAAGTAATGATTCACTAAGAACTCGAACTCCTATATTTCAATTAAAAACAAAAATCTTCTCATTTATAAAAATATGTTTTTTTTTTTTTTTTTATACCATCACAATAATGAAATACTGAACAATCATAAGGATCAGGAAAATAACCTGAACTACCTAATGCACATTCAATTGATGAATAAGGTGGTGCAATTTGTCCTTCACCTGAAATCAAATTGAAAGAACAATATAAAAAAAACAAAATAAATAAATAAATACTTACATTCAGCATCTTTTGGCCAAACACATCCACTAGCACTTGCTGAAAAATGTAAACCAGGATTACAAAAATGTGTTGAATGAAGTACACCAAGAACACACCAATGATAAATTGTACATGAACTTGGATCAGCAAATAATCCACTAGCACCTACTCGACATGTATAATTTCCTTTGAAAGTTTTTGGTGTCATTGTTGTTGTTGTTGTTAAATCTAAATTTGAAATTATTATTATTTATTTTGTCTTTTTATAAATTAATTATTGAAAATTTTACCTTCATCTCGTGTCCATTTTTTTCGTCCACCAGTACATTTTGTAATATTTTGCATACTACAACCAATCTTTATTTCATCCCATAACATTCCTTCTTTACACCAACGAACTGATTGAGTACCACTATAACAAACATGAAATTTTCGACAATCATCTTTATCAGGAAAAAATCCATCATCTATATTTTCAATACAAAAAGAAAAACAACAAATTTATTAGATTATATTATTATATAAAGATAATTTACCACTACAACGTGAACCAACTTCAGACATATATTGAATGCTAGAAGATTTTTCTTGAAGTGTATCTAATTTAAAAAAATAATAAAATAAACGAATTAATTAGATACTATCAAAAATTTATATAGAGATTTACATTTTGCAAGTTTTTTCTCCAATATTGTTGAATTTTGTATTGGTAATGATGTTGTTGTACTATTTGTTTGATTAGTAAATAAACCAAATGTTCCATTGAGTATATGGAAAATAAGTAATACTATATGAAAAAACTATATTATAGATCATATGTATGAATAGTTGTACTTACGAAATGTAAAGGTAATTTGAACGACCATCATTTTGCAATGCAAATGAAATAAATGAAAGAATTCATTGTGAGAAGTGGCTATTTATTCATGTCGATAGACACCTCAAAAGACATAAGTCAAACATGTTTTATCCAATTAATATTAAACAAAAGATTAAAACAAAGACGAGACTATCTTAATAAGCTGTAAACAAAACGAATGTAAGTAAGAATTAGTAAACGTGTCACATCGTCAGATAAGCTCTTCAATGTTTTGTACTTGTCATTATTCAATTAGATTTAAATGAACTAACAAATAAATATAATACAAATATTAGACAATTTCTTTAGACTGATAGTTTTTAAGCATATAAAACAAATACATAAGGATCATATGTCGTTCGATTGGATTAATCAAACTTTAATAAAGAATATTAATGATAGTACAAGGATTGATCTGTATCAAGAAAAAAAAATAAATAGTACATAGATGAAGTTTATTGAAAACATCGAAGTCATGAAATTAAAAAAAAAACGAATTAAAATGAAATAGTTCAAGTTGATATATGTCAAAAAGATTTCAACGGTGAGTAAAGATAAGATTTTATAAACATTGGTTTTTTTTTCTTCCAGTTTTCAACATTGATTCGTCATATGTTAGCATTATTAACATTTTGTGTTCTTTTTCAAATATATATTCGTAATCTTTGTGAGATTTATAGGTTAAGAGTTAAGAGCGAATCTTTGAAAGGTCCAAAAATATAGTTTCAATGCGTTTCAATGAGCCACAAATGCCATCCAAGGTAGAAATACAAATTTATTAATAAACAACATGATATTTTAATCATTCGTTTACTGTGACACCTCTATCAATAATAAGACTTTTAATATAAGACATATTGATGTCTTTGAAACTTATTGATTTTCAGACTTACAAGATCAGCCCGATTATTTTTGAAGGATTATTGCGAGATTTTTGGTTCGTAAGTAACTCGCTCGTCACTTTATGCAAAAAATCTTGGTAATAGAAAGTATTCAATAAAAGATTATTATTGTTGTAAAGGACGTATATTGTATGGGTGCTGATTGAAAAAATTTCCTAAACTGATGTAGTCAGTCGTTTTCGAAGCTCTTCCAATGTCCACTCATAATTCCTAGCCTATGATTCTCATAGAAATTGTAAGCATATATTCATAAAGAGCACAAAATTCTGATTCTAAAAAAATGATTTGAACTTTTAGGTGGTTTCCGCCATCAGTTGAAAATTGACGATACATTCTGTCTAAAAAAAAGCTTTCACACTACCCTTTATATGCAATAATATTACCATTGATTACTTGCTCTATTCAATAGATTCAACATTTTACACTGATTTCGCTTGGTATTGAACATCTTCATATGAAATATACTCTGTCTATTGATCACATAGATTTCAAACCTCGATGATTAACGAGGGAGATCGTTCAACGAACAAGTAACATTTGAGTCGAGGTTATGTGAATTATGTAGACCTAATTGAGTTATGAATACTCTGACAAGAATTCATGCTCTTAGCTTATTGCTGCACAGATACAACATTTACGCGGTAGTTTCTAAATGAATGCCATGGTCCAGAAAAACAGATTTTCGAATTTCAACATTGCATTGAGACAGACGTTAAAAGTAAATAGTTTGCTTTAAATGTTTTAGATCTTGTCGTTGTTGATATCTTACGATACAACTATAATAATTGCGTGCCTTGTACATTGCTCATATAAATCAGCAGACTGGATATTCTTATTTCAGGATAGAAGCAAATAAAAAAAACTTTAAACTATTCTCGTTAAGATCGGCTTCTATGCAAAATTTCTAATGTAAATTCAAAAATCAGTTTTTCCGGTGCTTCCGTGAAAGATCATGGCATTCATATCTCCTTAGCAATGAGCTAAAATCATATAATACACATAGTTTCGACACCAAAAACGATTTATCAATTGAAGAACTTGGCTCTAACGAGGGAACATTCCCAAGTGATACGCACCATTTGGGTTCATATTGTGCTCATAAGTAGGACCCAATTAAGACTAGAAAAAGCCTAAAAGAGTTCGTGCCATTAGGCCTTTCTTTCAAAGTNTGAAACTTTCAGGATATTCTAAGGATTATTAGTTCTAAATATGGGTAAAATTTCAGGTCAAAATTCCGTAACTTGATTTTCTCGTTAAATACCTAGGTATAGGTCGAAAAATCAGTAAAACGACCATAACTTTTCAAGGAAGAGCTGTCAGCCCAAATCCTTTTAGGCTTTTTGCTATCTCGATACCCTCTATCAAACGACGTACGAATGAAGAGAATCGGCGTTGGACACCTCGGGAGGTTCCCTCGTCAGATATTATTAACTTTTCAGGTAAGATAAGAATCATTTCAATTTTAATTTCTAAATTCATAAAAAAACGTCTTATATTTAAATACACTTTTTCAGACTGATTTTGGAATATAATAAAACAAAAAGTAATTAACTATTTTTGTTATAAAATAATTACAATTTTTAATTATGAAAACATGTGACTAATACATAAATTTATTTTGTATTTATTTTTTTCCAAAATGACTCGATGATTGTGGAGAATTATGTATTAAAAATGTCTTTTAGACACTTCTCTTTTCGTAGCAGTTAACATTGTATATTTATTTATTTTTATCATTTTTTGTTTCACCGAATAATATTATCTAATAAAAAAAACAAATACCCAAATTGAATAACACAATTGTTGTCAACGGTCATAAACAACAAAAATACAATGATCATATTTTTGTAGTGTTTTTGTCATATTCTTATCGTTTACGATCATGAACGAGCAATGTTTTCATTGTGTGCAGTCATCATGTTTTTGTACCTGGCTAATTTATTACTTATTTTCGATTGTATTTGTTGTTTTGAACTTTTGTTTTTTTGTACTTTCACTTTATGATATGTACATAAAAAAATCTTCGTCGTTTTAAAAGAAAGTTAAATATTTTCTTTTTTTTTTTTGCGTCTTTCTTTTCAAAGAGCGCAAAAAACAATAAAGTTTTCAAAGCGACAATAAAAATCTGTTTTTAAGAAAATGCACAATGATTAGTATCCAAGTATTTACCGGATGGATTCGCTATGCATTTCTCTTTCTGTTAAATCTAAATCGCTTTAGCTTTGAATAAAGCTCGATGAGCTCTATTTAATCTACTTCTAAAATGACCTCTTTATTCTATAGAAAAACTCTAATGATTCAAAAATGACACAAAAAAGACGTTAAGGTTCCATAAAACCCTTAAAGATTCACCTGTGAACTCTTTCAAACAAAATTAATAAGGTCTTCATATAGAACTTGTCGAGCCCCATCATTCTTACACCTCATTCATTGAGCTTGAGTAAATATCTTAAACGAATTTGCTGTAAAAAAAAATTTTTCTGCTTCGCTCGCGGGATAACCTTACTGCTTGGCAATGGAATGGATAAATATATGTCATTCGCTCTGTTAGATATTTAATTCTTCGCCGAGGTTTTTTCATATAAATATTTATACTTCCATTATTTGCACTACATCAAATAGCAATGTGCGTCATCTTTCGATAATTTACGCTTATTGATCCAAAGAAATGAACTAATAGATTTCCTTTTCTCCTGTGCCTTTCCCCTAGGTTGAAATTACAGCTATCATCCAAAAAAAAGATACTTCGAAATGGATAAATGTAGTACAATGTTATAGTTATTTTGTCAATCAAGAGTGAATATTTTCAGCTTACATTTTTTTTTACCCTCAAACATTCACCTGCGCTTTGCCAGAATTTTAGTTGTTTCATTTTTATGTTGTTTCTACGCAACATTTCGCTCTTGTCACTACGGTTTCTAGGACAATGTATGGTAACTGGATGAAGTATTGATACCAGTTAATACTATCCAGTCATTATTGATCTGAATACTCAGCTAAGCATACGTTCAAAACATCTCTTTTTTGCTTGGGATCCGTACGGACTCCAGGTGGCCGTTTGAAGGTTAAGAAATTTTTTTTTTTCAATAAAATATCTAAATTGATTTATAGGTTTAACAGAATAACATTCTGTATAATCAAATTTTACAATATGTTGGGTTTGTTTTCAACCTTTTTTGAATATTGTTAGTCATTACCATTATTGTCCTATACTAAAAAAGAATTTTACTGTTTGACATCATATAATAAATTAAATTTATATCTACTTAAGTCTTGTCGAATGATACCTCACCAGTTTCCTATGGGCTATATATCATCTATTCGGCTTTGAGATGAATACTGAGGTTTTATAAATAAAACTGTCAGAAAGATAAATCGAAGCAACTGACATATTCGAAAATAAATTAAAAATAGTACACGTCATAAAAGAAGACTGTTAATATAAAAAACCTTTAGTAATATGAGATGTTATAAAACTTCAAACACAATCAGCAAATATGACTAATATTATTACATAAAAATAATAAGTCTGATAAAAAAATCTTTGTGAGCCAAAAAACATACAAGTATAATAATAAAACTTCTCACTATACATTTCGAAATATCGTTTTTTTTCAGATATTTTTAATCGTCCTCTACAAAATTGCATATTTCGATCAATTAAATATGTATAAGTTAGTCATAAATATTTGTTGATTTACTGTTAGAGATCGAAACTTTTCCACCATCATTTAATCTATAATCGCAGCTGCATGAATCATCAAATCAAGGTCGATATACATCACTGATATGAATTATTTTGTGATATTGAATTCTTCTGATCAACTGAATTTAGAGCATTGATTTTAATGACATCTCGAGAATGTTTTTAGTTGAAATCGAAAACAAAATGTTTTTTGTGAAATAAAAGTGTGTCAAAATGTACTCTCATAAAGTTTTATAAAGAAGGTTTTTGAAAAACAAGGAAAACCGAATAACCTTTTTATTTTGATAACAACATCTATTCGTTAATCAAAAAAAAAAATGATAAGTGGAAAATAATGTTTTGTCCTTTTTACAGTTCTTCTACATGTTGCACACACTCCTACACAAACACTGCACCGCATGG